AGGGAAAGTATTGGCTTGGTAAGTGAACGTTAGATAAAGGAGGTTGGAGGGGTTGGTTGGCTTGTACATGGAAGGCGCGGTCACAGGGAGTCTTTACTATCCCTAGGAGTGGGCCAGCTTCGGAGAGGCAGTCTCTCTAGGGTCAGCAAGGCCCCAGGATGCCAAAGCCTCATAAAATACAGAAAATAAAAACCGTGATTAATAGTACAATGGGGTCTCTATTCTGATCAATGTGTCCAGCTTGCGCTCATAGGAGAATGTCTTCATTACCAGAACAACCCCTCTCACCTTGTTGGTTTAAATTGGTCGGTGGATTTTACTTGTCCCTTAGTTCTTGCAAATAAATTTTAGAATAAGCTTATCAAGTTCCATGAAAAATTCAGAATGTGATTTAGATAGAAATTTTGCTAACTTTATAAATTAACCTGGAAAAAGCTGAATCTTTACTCTGTTGAGTCTTCCTGCTCATGAACATGTTACATCTTTCCATTTATTGAAATTTTCTTTAATGTCCTTCAGTAAGATTTTTATTGTTTTCTCAATAAAGGTCATGCTCATCTTTTGTCAGCTTTATTACTAGGTAGGCTTTTATTTTTTGTTGCCAAATTTTGTTGGAAATAAGAATTCTTTTGTTGGGAACAGTATCTTTGAAAAAATATGCTTTAAATGGTTTGTTGCTGGTATATGGAATTGCAGTTGACTTTTGTCAGTATCTTTTGTCTTATAACAATGAACTCTTAGCAATTATAATAACTTTCCTGCAGATTCTTTTTAGTTTAATTTGTATACCTTTAATTTCTTTTTGTTTACCTGTGCCTCTACGACCTTTTTATTACAATATTATGTAAGGGATAATAGTAGGAATACTTTCCTTAGTTCTGATTTAAAGAAAATGCTTTTAACATTTTACCTCTTTTTAAAAATATTTTTAATTGATTTTAGAAAGGAAGGGAGAAGGAGAGAGAGAGAGAGATAGAAACATCAGTGATGAGAGAGACTCATTGATCGGCTGCCTCCTGCACGCCCCCACACTGGGGATCAAGCCTGCAACCCAGGCAGGTGCCCTGACCAGGAATCAAACCCTAACTTTCTAATTTATAGACTAATGCTGAACCACTGAGCCACACCAGCCGGGCTTAATATTTTACCTTTGAGTGTAATTTTTGGTGTAGGTGTTGGGAGATACCTTGTATCTAGTTAAGGAAGTTCCCATTCCATTCCTGGTTTGCAAGAAGATATTTTAAAGCATGAATGCAGATGATCACAAAGTTTTTAACCTTTCTTTTGTTAATGTAGTGAAGATTATTTTAAAAGGCTTTTAATTAATTCAAAATCATTATTTAGGTTAAAAGAACACAATGTTTTAAATTAGAGCTTTATTAAATCAAGGTTGAGGTAAAAACAATAGAGTGAAATTATTGCAAGATCTTTATTAACTTAATCAGTTTTAGTCAATAAAGGGATTTGGGGCTTACTCAATATTAAAGAGCTCTAAATTGAGTTTTTTTCCCACTTGTAAGAAGGTCATAACTGCCAGTTTGCCAAGTCATTTGTAAAAATGTCTGGTTCTGCGTACAGGCCTTTCTTCAACAATTGCATTAGTGAGGGAGAGTGATTGAAAAACGTAACACATTTCAGCTTGAAGACAATTTCATCCCCACCTCCCGGGAGCATCACTGCCTCCTGGCTCCGTAAGCTCCAACAGTAAGAAGTCCTGGGAGAATAAGAGGAAGGAGGGGTGGGGACCTCAGCACTCAGCGCCCCTTCTTTCATTGTCCATAATTGAAGGTGCCAGCCTATGACATTTCAGGCCAGGTTTGGGTCCACACTGGAAAATACACATCTTGCCTAATGCAAGCAAACTTGTATTTGTTTATGGGTAAATATTAATCATTTTAGTCAGAGTAGATCCTTTTTCAAAAACCAGATACATTTTTTGATGAGTAGTGATTTCGTGAGAATACTGTGGAATGCTCCAGTCCCCAACTCCCTTGTCCATGGCCTACTGTTATGTGAGGCCTCTGGCAGCATGGGAGGTGTTAGAAGACCCTCTCATGTTCAGGGGAGCTGGGTTCCTGGGAAGGGGGATAAACACCAACTTACCAATGCCCCGACATGGTAGATATCATGCCTTGATTAAAGACAATATGTGTATTAGGGCTGAGGAAATGTAGACTAGACAACTGATCTGAGTGAATGAGAATAATAAAGACTTCTTGCAGGAGGGAAATTGTTTTTAGAAATTGAAGGATAATACTGTGTGACCCTAAGCTAGTTACTTAAGCTTTCTGTGCCTCAAGACTCATCATCTCCCATATGGAGCAATGACAGTGCCTATCAGAGGAGGGGAGGGTGGTCCAGGAGGCCTCGGTGAGTTAGTGGGTTAACAGGACCTGGCACCTGGTAAATGGTGGTTAGCAACATCATCTGACACCACAGCTTCACATTCTTGGACATTGCAGACACTTGAGGATGACAAGGCCTGAATATCCTACATAATAAAGAGCTAATATGCTAATTAGATTGAACAGCAGAATGACCATCCGGACGACCTTCCAGACGAAGCCAGGGCTGGGAGGGCTGAGGTATCGGGCCTCTAGTGAAGTCTGAATAGACAATCAAGGACAACCAGACAGTTGAGGAAAAAATGGAACATGAAATTAACAGTAATTATCATTAGCACTAAGTGCTTTCATTAAGTGCTTACTATATCTCAGGAAATATTTTAATCATTTTGCATCGATGAAGTCACTTAATCTTTTTTTTATTCTCTTTATTATTTTTTTATTATTAGTTAAGGTATTACAAATGTGTCCTCATCCCCCGAAGTCACTTAATCTTTATAATTTTATTTCACAGAGAGGAAACAAAAGCATAGAGAACTATGCATTTTTACTTTATTGAAAAAATGACAACGTGAAAGAAATTTCTGGGAAAGGAAAAGAAAACATGATTGTCCTTACTTCTATCCCTCGTACAGAACATTTCATTTTCCTAAATTATTTCCTGGTCCTTGTTCATAGCCAACTTTAAAAAATAGTTTTATTCTTTGTATAAAAATGCTGCGTGCTCATTAAAAAGGCCCTGAGCACCTGGTCGGTGTGATTCTGGTTGGGCGTTGACCCATGCACCAGGAGGTCACCAGTTCGATTCCTGGTCAGGGCACGTGCTGGGGTTGTGGGCTGGATCCCCAGTGGGGGGCTGTGCAGGAGGCCGCTGATTAATGTTTCTCTCCCAGCAATGTTTCTATCTCTCTATCCCTCTCCCTTCTTCTCTCTCTAAAATAAGTAAAAAACGTATTTTTTAAAAAGCTCCAAGCAATAAAAGAACAGATAAAAGTGCAAAATAGAAAGATGATATTTAAGAACAGAATGCTTCTTGTGTCGAGTGACCCTTGACACTGGTGTGTCTATTGTTCATGTGTGAGTCACTGATGTAAAATATTACTTCATGAGCCCTCACTTGCACGGCTCAGTTGGTTGGGTGTTATTCCATGCACCAAAAGGTTGCCACTTCAGTTCCCAGTCAGGGCACATAACCAGGGTTTCGGGCTCCATTCCCCGAGGGGGCGTGTGCCGGAAGCAGCCTGTCAACCTTTCTCTCTTATTGGTGTTTCTCTGTCTCCTCCTCTCCTTTCAAAATATTTTATATTATGAAGTACGAAACTACCTGATGTACCACAAACTTTATCAGTCCCTAGATCAGTGATGGCGAGCCTATGACACGCGTGTCAGAGGTGACATGCGAACTCATTTTTTTGGTTGATTTTTCTTTGTTACATGGCATTTAAATATATAAAATAAATATCAAAAATATAAATCTTTGTTTTACTGTGGTTGCAAATATCAAAAAATTTCTATACGTGACACGGCACCAGAGTTAAGTTAGGGTTTTTCAAAATGCTGACACGCCGAGCTCAAAAGGTTCGCCATCGCTGCCCTAGATTATACAATTTTTAAAAAAGATATTAACTTTTTTAAATCCTTGCCTGAGGGTATGTTTTGTTGATTTTAGAGAGAGTGAAAAACAACAACGTGAGAGAGAAACATTGATTGATTGCCTCCTATGAGTACCCTGAGCAGGGATGGAATCTGAAACCTGGTATGTGCCCTGATCCGGGATCAAACCCACAGCCTTTTGATGGACCGGATGATGCTCCAACCGATTGAGCCACCCGGCCAGGACACGATTATTTTCTAGAACAAAAATAAGGCCCTTTGTACAAGACATTGGAAACTGTGAGGGCTCTTCTTGATAATTTGTATTATCTTTCTGATAAATAAGTTCTTCTTGATATTTTCTTTCTGTTCATTAGAGACCCAAGGCTTTCACCTCTACACCAAAGGCCCCACACATCTACTGTCCGCATCATAAGCACGCTGAGAAAATAAGGTAATACTTTTCTTAGCACCTGAGGAGATATTACTGATGTATGTAACTCCTGAAAAAAAAATGTTATTCAGACTTTTGGGAAGGGTTTGAGTCTGAAGAAGAATCTGTTTCGAGAGAAGGAAGATTCATAATATCTCATTTCAAAGCTCAAGGGGCCTTACATAGTCTCTAGCTCACCACTTAGGTTTAGAGGCCAAAGGGGTTGAGGGGGGATGCGCAAAGTCACAATGCACTGAGACCAGAACCTGAGGTTCTGGATTGGTAGACATTTTTTCTTTGTGTCTAAGAAAATGGGGAAAGAAAAAAAAAAGAGAGAGAGCGGGAGCAGGTAGTTGAAATAAAAGCTCAAGATTGGCCATATTAGTCAGAAAGTAAAGCTTTCTGGAAAGTTCCCTGACTTCTGAATAAACTTCAGCCAATTTCCAGATTAAACCAGTGAAAACGTAAGACTCTCAAAGGTTTCAGAAAGCACCCTCTTGCTCTTTGAAATGCAAAATAAGCACATTTCAAAAGCACTTCCCATCTGCACCCTGAAAGGCTGGGTTTAGACTGGGAAGAAAGGACTGTGGACTAGTGTCCCCCATTAGGCTTTTGCGGCTCCCCTGTAGGGACCAGGGGATCTGTAAGTACCTGGGCCAGGCCTCACGCCGGCATTGACAGACATAAAGAAATGCTTGTGGGGCATTTGAAACCTCACATCCTCATGATACCCTGTTAACATCCGCTTGTTAAAATTAGCCTAGGTTTTTCACGATAGAGGCCTGCTCCCTCAAGCCCCACAGGGCTGCTCCTTTGAGCCTGAAGGCCACACACGTTCAGGGGTGCTGGTTCGTCCTGTACTCAACCCTAAGAGCCACTAATGTTTTCACAGGTGGGCCTCAGGAGCACCATACCTCAGATTCAGAGAATGGAATAGCACCAAAGAGAAGGCCTACTGCACAGTAAACGGACGTGCTGGGAGCAGGAACCTAGAACGGTTTCCAGCGGGCTTGACGCTTGCAGTGTTTGGCATCTTCATCATTGTGGTATTTGTCTACATAACCGTGGAAAAGAAGCCGCTCTTTGGTTAGGTGCTTTCGGAACAGAGCAATGATTGCCTCAAGCCCTCCTGCTTCAAGGAAGAACCGGGACTGCTCTGAAGGGGGAGGGCCAGCGCTGTAGCCAGGTAGTCTTCCCGTGCACTGTGCACTGTGCACTCTCACCGTTCTGTACCCTGGCTCAGCCAGGTGGAAGGAACCAGGGGAAGAACGAGAGCTGAATCAGAGGGACTTCTATGAGGCATGCCGGCCATCATTAAAGGTGCTTCTACACTGAAGTGCACTTCCCAAAAGGAAGCTGAGCCTGCATCTTTCTTTTTTAATGAGGGCAACCAGCCATTGCTTACATGTTATTCACTCTATTCACTCTTCAAATTGTATAGTCCATATCAGGAAAGGCCGCAACAGGTAACGAACAAAAAAAGAGTGCATCTGATGTGGCAAACACAAGGAAATATCCAACGTCACCCAAAAACAACTTAGAAAATGACAGCATTTTCATCATTGAAACCTAGCAAGGTTTGAACACATGAAGGCCTGATGAGGGAGTGATCATGGCCTCTGGGACCAGACAGAGCTGGGTAGGTCCCTGGCTCCTCTGTATATTGACGCTGTGAACTTGGATGAGTTGGTTGTCTTCTCTGAGCTTCAGTTTCAACTTCTGAAACTAGAGGTAGCATAGACCTCTTAGGGTGATGAAGAATTTGAAGAAATAATGCATATAAGAGTACTTAGTGTGGTCCATACCTAACTGGTAGTAAACCTCCAATATAGGCTCGATAAATGTTTAAATAGTGTTATACTCTGGCACAACATTTTTACTTCTGGGAGGAACTAATTCTAGATAAAGAGAACCCTTAAGCACAGAGAATTTGACTAGAAATTTTATGATAGCCAAAATGTAGAACCAACCCAAATATTGAACAACAGGAGAATAGTTTAATAAATTGGAGTAAAGCCTCTTGATAGATGATTATGCATTAATTAAAAATGTTAACATTGAATTCATCATAAAAGATATGCTTATTTAAAATTTTTTATAACAGCTTCATTGGGATATAATTTGCATGTCATATAATTCACCTAGTTAGGATGTATAAGCCAATGATTTTTAGTATGTTCATAGAGTTGTACAACAATCACCAAAATCAATCTTAGAATATTTCTATCACCCCCAAAATGATTTTTAAAAATGATAAACAATAAAAGGAAACAAATTTGTTACTACTTGTTATCACAACTATTCAAACAACACGGGAAGAAAATATGTCAAAATGTTACCAGTATTTCAGTGATGGGACTCTGATTTCCTTTTCCTTATTTCTACTAGTCTATATTAAGATTTCTATAAGCAGGGTGTGTTAATTTGCTAATGAGAGAAAATAAATTTTAATTTTTAGAAATTGTGTACTGTATTACAGTTTGGCTGCAAGGAACATAAAACACCAGTATGACCAACTCAAACAAATAAGAATTTCTTTTTAATCTCATAAAAGGACATTTGGAGCTTAATGTATATAATATTGTTAAAAATAGCCAAATGTGATATGAATCTGATTCAAATAAAACAATAAAAATGATCAAGAAAATTAGAGACTGACTGGATAATTGGTGATATGAAGAGATGCTTGAACATATTGGGCAGCAGCAGCTATTCTGTGACCATGAGGTAAAAAGCATGAGAGAAAGGCTGAGGGGCTCACAGAGGCCTTGGCCTGCTACCTTTGAACTGCTGAAATGAGTTCTGCAGCTCAGGCCATGGCATTGATATTTAAGGCACAACTTGAGGGGAGATGGAGAAGTCAACAGACATTACAGGGTTCATGATTGATGGTAGGACAGGGTGCCCTGGGAGCACAATTTTCTCAGGCGTTGGGAGTGGACCTGGGTAGCTTCCCGGAGAAAGTAGTGCCATGGTTGAATCCAGCACGATGAGTAGGATTCTGAAAAGTGAGTGAAGCTTAGGGAATGGTCTCCAGGCTGAGCTAATAGTATGTACACAGGCTTCTATTAACAAGAGCAGGCAAGTGTGGGGACCACAGGAAAACTAAAGGGGGTGGTGAGAGATGGGGATGGACAAGAAGGTGGGATTTAGATCATGTCATAGATAATTAAAGAGTTAAACCTTCATCTTGAGGCCAGTACATGAGAAGAGGAACTCAGTTCTAAGAACTCACAACCCCTGCTCTCTGACTGCAGTCCACAGGGGCAGTTTCCATGTCAGTTTCCACACTGGTTTCCTCAGCTCCCCTGGCTTCCCCTGAGCACCGGGGAGAGAGGGTTTCTAAAGAGTCGGCAAACCAAAGGAGCTGTTTGCCAAAACCCCTGAGGGACACGGGGAGCGGGCGTCAGTTCTCTGTGTGCTGCTGGCCGGCAGCAGCAGCAGGGGGCAGCTCAGCATTTGTGGGAGGCAGCGCACTTTGACACATACTTCAACAGCGTGCCCTTGACGAGGACGGCAAATACAGCAATGCTAGGAACGAGGGCAGCAAAGGAGAAATCAGGAGATGCTACCAGTGGGGTGGCTCGGACAACTGTGCTGGTGAGCAGACAGGGGTACTTTTATGGGACTCCCAGGGAGAGAAGGAGTATTTGTGATGTGACCCAAGTATTTCATGACCGTCTCTTCAAGCCTCACCTTCCCCTGGGTAACCTGGGGAAAGTGTGTATGGGGTACGGGACTGACTGCCCTTCCTTGGGCCACTGTCCTTCGTCAATATGAAAGTGCTGCCACAAGCTGACTTCAGCAGAGGGCTGATACAGGGAAGGCCTGTCCCTAAAGTCGCCACAATTCGATCACATGAATGGGGTGTGTAACAGACTTTTCTGAAATTTGAGACATACGGAGGAAGCTAAACTGTGGTGAGGAAAGAACTGGGCCTTCCCCAGTGTCGTTCCCAACAGTCCTCTGTCCACCTCCATCCCGCCATCCACTACACGACCCAGCAGAAGCCAGGACACTGACATGTTCTTGACCTTGGGCCACATCGAATTCCCAGGCAGGGCTCTTTCCCCGACTAGGCTTGGTAACAGAAGGGGAATCGGTGGAGAGATTTAGTCTCCTCTTGGGAGAGCGAACTCCCAGCCATCAGGGTGTTCATTTTTCTAGTTCTAACGACTCATCTGCCTCCTGTACAAACCTTGGAGCCCCTTGGGTTGGGGGCTGCACCTCAATCGTCTTTGGATCCCTGCTTAAAGTGAAGTCTTCACGAGCCCACTTCCTTTTCAAGCCATTTACAACCCAGACATTTGAAACCACAAAACCAACATCCCAGATTTCGCCTCCTATGTATTCCTGGGCAGAGTTCCTAACGTGAGCAAAGTGCTGTTGAAAGGTCTTCCCAATCAACCTCCTCTGCAGGGTTCATCCTCATAACGGGCTGTCATTCCCAGGGCTGGTCGTGCTCCTTCCTGTATATGTCACCACTGACCCCTGGGGTCAGACCTGCCACCCAGCCGGGAGTTCTCCCTCGGGCTGCCAACCAGGTAAGCAGAGCCAGGCTGCATTCGGCCAGCTGCGCGCCACACGTGGGCGGCGGGTTTCACGGGCTTGTGTTCTACCTACGGGCCAGGAGGCCGATTCCATCACGTGTGCTGTGGAAATCTCTGCCCAGCCAACATCCAGTCTGGCAGATGGAAGAAATTCTTAAAGGCTCTATTTCTGGGTTTTGACATTCAAAGAAACACTGCGCTACCACCTCTTAAAAATAACTGGCTGCGTACCAAGTTATTTTCATTGCCACAGCGATAAATAAAGCGGCGCTAGACCACATTGTTCATATCTATAGTGGTTGGTGATAACTCCCACATGCAAAAAAAAAAAAAGAGTATTGATATTTGAGAGGTTGTCTTTTCTTGCTTTTTTCCCCTTCCTTCTCTCCCCAGACCCCACCCCCGCCACCCAGGCAGGAAAAGTCTTGCTGATTTGAGTAACGTGAAGGGCTGGTCTTTGAAGTAAAATAAACCTTTACTCTTTCCTGGAGCAAGAAATGTCTCAGGACTAAAATAAGAAAGTGCCTGACCCACTTAGCATTTGACTCGGGGGAAGAGCCCCCCCTAGAAACTTGGGCGGCAGAAAAGGAAAGGGAAGAACATTAGCGTACCAAGCCGCGCTGGCTTTTCACAAGCTCGCTCAGAAAGAAATGAGCTGAACCCATTAAGAGGGCCCGCGAAGGGGCGTGTGACCGTCACCCAGGACCGCGCGGCCACCTTGGTGCACAGCCTGGGCGGCTTCCTTCCCGTTCCCTTTGGCAGCGCAGGTGCGTGAGGAGCAGAGAAAAATCCACGCGGGGGTGTGACAGCTGCGCGCTGGTCAGCAGGTGCACGAGCTCCCGCATCAGGGACCACGGGCCCGAGAAACCAGGGCTCCTGCACGTGTTCGCATCCGTGGGTGGAACCGAACACACGCTGCCGAGGGAAGCAATCTCTGTGAGCAGAAGGGGGCTGTTCTAGGGACGCTGCAGCCGTGAGGGAACAATGTGAGAACTGGTTTCTAGAGAGCCACGGTTCAAAGCCTCTGGAATGGAAGGACCAGCTGGCAATATATGGAGGGGACAGAAGGAGTTTGCCTTTTTTGTGTTTTCTCTCCCCTTCGGAGGAGAAGGGGTCATTGATGTTCACTTCTGACTAAAGGGTATTTTTTTCCCCTTTGATGTTGGGCAACCCATCAGATGGGCAAACGGGAAGGGTGCGTTCGAACTCTGCGTGAATAAGGATCACTCTGCCGCTATGAAGAGCATGTCTTTCCTACTTACACGACTGGGAAGTTGAAACCCAGGCTAAGAAGGGGGCAAGGAGCAGGAAAGTGCCCTGAGCAGGGAGTCAGGGGTCCAGGTTCCAATCCCAAGTCTGTCCCTGGTTGCTTGTGGGACTGAGAGCTTTCCTGGGGCCTCAGTTTCCCCATCTGTAAAATGAGCACCCGTATTCTGAGTCAGAACCTACGCAACGACGAGCCTTTAAGACATTGTGCTCAGTGAAATAAGCCAGTCACAAAAGCACAAACACGGTATTCTTCAAGTTGGCAACTAATATCA